GAGAGAAGTTCCACTTAAAATTTATCCTGAAAATAATGTAATCGTGGGACAACGTGACACTTTGAAGAACTTTATGAGTTTCTTGAAATTTTATCATGCTTTTTACTACTAGAGGAAAGTCCCTAATAGCGGAGTTTCTGCTAAATTAATAGGCATCATCTGTTGGTTCCACCATGAATTTGTTTCCCTCGGAGTGAAATCGGTTTAGTGGACAATTGATTGTTAGTTCGTGTAATCGGTGCGGAACGATTCGCGATTGAATTTGGACGTTGAAAACCTATTACACTATCTCACATTAGAATCCTATCTCGTAACAGAGGACTTTCCTCTAATTATACTTAACAATTGGTGTACATTTTACTGGTAAGATGTGTGGTGAAATGTCAAAAAACTTTAAGTTAAAAGTATAAAGTTCTTCAAAGTGCCATCGTTGTCCCACGATTACACGACTTTTGGGGTAAACTTTAAAAGAAAATTCTCTCCGTATATTAAGGTCCGATTTCACCAACGTCGCTTCACTTTAAGCTCAGCTTAATCCGTTCCTAGTCTCCTTCCAACTGTTACTCTAGAAAGAAACAAACACGAATTAAAGTAAGACTAAAGTTAAGCGACGTTTGGTGAAATCGGGGCCCAAACCGCCCGTCGCGCTTTCGACTTCTTCCACACCCCGCCGCCCTCCTCCGTCGATTTGCAGCGAGCGAAGGTGTCGAATCGATCCTCGTAATGTGGAAGACCTGATAATCGCGGGGCGGGGGTGAGGCGCAAGGACGAAAGGGGTGAGTCCATCGCGGAAAAATTTCACTCTCGCGCGAGTCGGGGAAATCGATCGTCCCGACGCGACGGCGGGACAAAACGCGCCCAATGTATAATCTCCCCAGCCGGCTTCACGGTCGTACGTGACGGCGGGAATCGAGTCAATGTTTTTAGGTCAGGTGATAACGCACCGGCGCGGCGCGCTGACATCACCGCCGCATAGTAAGCGTGACGCAACCGCTCGTAGTAACGTCACGCCGAGGCTCCGTTCATGCTTCTTCCCTCCGGGCGGCGCGTGCGCTCACCGCCGCCGAAAATTATTTCCTCTCCGTGTAAAACGTCGCTTGCCTCCGCTCTTTTCGACTTTCTCTCCGTTTCTATCTCCTCCTCCCTCTTTCAGCTTGTTTTTCTGTCCTTTTCGCGCGCTTTCAACATTTTGCTTCTAAACAGAGGGAAATTAGTTTTAAAAAAGTCGACCAGAAAGGTGATCCTTATTAAGTCACAACGTTTCGACCTCTTTACCGGGTCCTTTTCAAGTACAAGCTGGATACAAATTGCAAAACCTCAATACAAAGAAAGGAACTTTAAGTATGTACAAAGAAGGAAAGTACTTAATGTTGACTGAAAAAATTATTAATTTTATGCCGAAAGAGAATGAGTTCACGAGCCTGGCAGCGAATTCACAATATCATATCTGAGATTATTACGGGTAAAGATAAATAAATAAATAGATAAATAGTAAGATAATAAGTTAGAAAAATGAATTAATTAATTAATAAGTTAAGTGCAAGAGTCAATAAAACAGTAAAAAGCAGATAAAACGTAAGATAATAATTAAGATTATTATCCTTTTTTCTCTTCCCCACCGCCCTGTGCCTGTGTCAGGCAACCAACCTCGATGTATCGTTTTTGAAATCACGATCTCTGTTGACAAACACGCCCGACGAAAATACATACACGTGACGCATCGACGAGAACGCCGTAATTGTTAATCTAATCGGATGCTCGGCGGTGGATATCGACGCGGTCGCTTCGTACTCCGGCGAACAGGACGAATCAGGATCGAATGAGACCTATACCGCGCGAGACCCGTCGCAATCTACATCGCTGCCTGGCACGCAGAATAAGGTGAACAACAATAACGCGGCGGCACAAAAGTATCGACCAGGACAGGGTTGAGAATGTTCAGCAGGATTTGTAACACGTTGCCGAGATTCAAAATTCTCCTTGGGTCGATCTCACCTTTATCCTTTCATCGATCGGCGTGCAAATATTCGTTTTTCGTAGCTCGCGAGGGCGCGAAGATGTCGAATACGATATTAAACTGTTGTGTAAAATATATATTCTGTATTCTGTTAGATATCACGTGTCCTCGTAAACTATATTTAAATTTATATGTCGACATCGTCGGCCCAATTAGAAAATCTTCTACCTCACAATATCACGTAACTTCGGAGTTGGACTTGTTTCTCGAGGTTTTTAATTTTCTTCAAGATAAATCAGCTGAAACAAATATCTTAATTATGTCAAGACTTGGAGTTAACTTTTCTAATTAGGCCGACGATATTAAGTGATGAAAAAGACCGGACTATCCGCGACGATATTAAATTAAATGGCCGCACGATCGCGCGTTTTATAAAGAATGCGTGCAATATCCGGTAAATTGACGCTTATCTGATAATTTTCCAGGAGTTATCGAGTCCAGGAATATGTGAGGAGAATGACTAAGGTCCGGTTTCACCAACGTTGTTTAACTTTGAGCTTATTGTTAGCTTAATTCGTTCTTTGTCTCTTTCTAATTTTTACTTTAGAGAAAGACGCAAACACGAATTAAACTGAGATTAAAGTTAATTAAGCGACGTTTGGTGAAACCGGGCCTGAGGTCTACAGTATTAAACGGCAAAGTGAACTGAAATGCTATAAGTAGGCTCGACTGTAACCCAACCTTGTAGATATGTAAATCATAAATCACCGTATAAAACGGAACAACAATTTCCTCTGGTATCAAAGTAAGACTGAAGTAACACTTTGGTAATACCGTAGTGATACTATGTTGGATTAATTTGCGATTCCTCCGTTAAATAAATTATACGTGTCCTAAAAAAAAAAGAGTACACAAGAGAACAACTCAATGCAAATGTAGCCGTCTTAGAATTTTTGCATCATCGGTATTTGGAAAGTGGCATAAATCGCCACCGTGAGTCATATCCAGTGTATACACATTCCACTGACGTGATAACAGACAAATCAGGATACACGTATAACGAAATGGGGAAGTGTTCGAGTCTTTTTAGCTAGAAACTGATTTATCGTTAAAAAAAATCAAACGTTTCCGGACTCGAACTGAATATCTAATTCGAAAATGAGAGGTTCTACTCTGTACTCGGCTAACCGACAACTATCGATATCGTAAACGACGTTTGCATAGCTTTTTTACACGATAGAGAAGCTGCAACAGTGTACGAAATACAGCTCCCTGGAAGACGCATTGGGCGAGCAAACCCTTCGAGAAAAAAAATCTGTACCGTGTCTCGTGATACGCAAAATATCGCAAAATGCCCCAGGAACATTTTTAATGGCATCTTTTTACATTTTGGAATCCCCAACTTCGTTTTGACACGTTTTTAAAACGCAAAATAACGCAAAATATCCTCAACACGCAAAATTAGCTTCCAAAATAACGTAAAAACGTCCTTAGTAAACATTTCTAACGTCAATGTTGTATCCTAAAGAGATTTATGCCTAAGATTAGTTTTGGCTTTCAAGCTTTCGCGGTTGGTATCTTCTTCAGTCGTAAAGGCTTCCGGATGGTTGCCGCGTCCGTTTGCAGTGTGGTGCCGTTAATTGTTTAGCTTTAAGCTTACAATTAGCCTAGTTCTTTGCCTCTTTCTAAACTAACAGTTGGAATGAGGTAAAGAACGAATTAAACTAAGTGTAAAGTCAAGCGACGTTGGTGAAACCGGGCCCAAGTCGTCTTATTGAAGCCCTGCCCACCTTTGACCACGGCATTAACAAAAACATTATCAAACTAATACAAAATCCGGAAAAACAAAACGCAAAAGACGCCGAAAATAGCATCAAAATAACGCAAAATCTGGAAAAACAAAACGCAAAAAATGCTAAAAAATACCGTCAAAATGTTACACCTCTAGATATTAAGCCTAATCTACAATGTGCTTTCTGCATCTAGAAACATTCTATTTTATGTAAACAAATCGAAACGCTTAACAAACTTGTCGACAATTTGCGATTGTACAATGCACAATTTATCAACTTGCCCAAATTTTGTAAACGTATTTATTGGCTAGGAAATAGAATGTTTCTAGACGCAAAGGACACGTTGTAGATCAGTCTTCAAGATCGGTCTACGTGGGTCCTAAAAAACGGAGACTGCATTGAGGTTATGGACCCACGCGTGGACGCGACTGCGCGCACATCTTTGCTCCGCGCATGTGCCGGAGTAAAGAATCACGCGCGGATCGCGAGGGAAATTGAGTGTAGCACCGATGATTCATGGGGCCGGACAGTCTCGGGCTGAACTTTTTCGAGCCAAGCTCTCGCGAACCCCCTCCCCGTCCCATTGTATTCAAATACGAGCTTCGCTGCTTTGCCGACTGCAACGCCCGACTGTGCACTCGACAATCGACGAATTTTCGGGGCGCACTGCTGTTTCCATAGATGTTTCAACAGCAGCAGAGACAGAGATGATCCTCGGACTCTCAAACCCATACACCAGGGACTCGATCCTTGAGAGTTGAAAGTCGACGGGCCGTTCGCGTGGGTTTCAACCACTTTTGACTTTCAACTTTTCTGCGAGAGCGGAATCTTCGCGTGCGTTTCTCTCTCGAAGGAATTCAGGAATCGAGCCGCGGTGCCAGGATAACGTGGGACATTGCAGCCCCCACCACTGGACGTGGGACACCGCGCTATCACGGGTGCAAAATATCGGTGCAGCCGAAGCTTTGCCGAAGACCCGCCATGTGCACGTCGTATGCCGCGTCCAGTGGGGCTCGAGTATCCCTCGATATCACAGCACTGGCGTATGTTCCGAAAACAACGCGGACAGATTCTTTTGTCACTTACGTTTTTTACAACTACGCATACTGTTAGAATCCTCCCCCCTTCTCTCTCTCTCTCTTAAACGTCCAAATATATATTTATCTCGTTTCAAGCGCAGAAAAAACTGGAGATTTCAAACGACTCGAACAGACCCAAGCTCGGGATATATTTTTTACCGTTGGACTTACTTGCTTTTCAAGTCCTCTGTATCGTCCCACAGGCGTTTGGTGTCGATCTCGAGCTTGGCGCGTTCCCTGGCAGTCTCGTCGAGCAGCTTCCGCGCGTCGGACAGCTCGTGCTCGTACATCGCCTTGATGTTGGTGACCTCCCGCGTGACGGTGTCCTGGGTGGTCTGCACCTCCCGGCTGAGCCGGGAGTTCTCCGACTCGAGGAGGCGCACCTTCTCGATGTAGCAGGCCAGGCGGTCGTTGAGGTTCTGCAGGTCCTGCTTCTCCTGCATACGCGAGTAGCGAGTCGGGCTGAGCGGACTGCCGGGCCGCCGGCCGGCGATCGGCGTCGACGTGCCCGGCGGTGGCTGGATGCTGCTCGACGACGACGAGGCCGAGACGTTGGGGGAAGAGGCGGCGGCCGCAGCAGCGGCAGCGGCGGCGGCGGCGGCCGCCGCCGCCGCCGCGGTCTTCTTGCTCGACTTGGTCGACATACTTGCTCCCTGCGCTTATACGCGGCTCCTCTGCGTGCACACGGCTTCTCGCGCCCGCGGGTCTCGTACGCTGCGTCGCTCCCGGCTGGACACCCTCGCGACACTGAGGGGAAGCGAGAGTAGGGGAGGGAGAGAGGGCACACCGGCGCGCGACCGTGCCTATCGGATCAACTCGCTGCCGAATACGTCAGCGCGGGCCGTGTCTCGATCGTGCGGGCGGGCACGCGTCTCCTCCGTAAACGACGTTCCAACACACGTCGCAGCCAATTGCGCACTACTCGCTCAACCAGCACGGCCAACGGTCAGACTAGTGCGCCTGCGACGACGCCACATCACAAGCCGGGTTTCGCGCCGCCATTAAGCGCGAGGGAGCGCCGCGGCCGGCGATTGGCCGCCGCGCCGCGGGAACGCCACGCGGCCGGCCAATCGCGCGCGGCGAAACGGCCGGGCGCGCGGCAGTGACGCGCGACGCGATTCGCCGCGGCTGCCGCGCCGGCGCGGGCGCCCGAATGGCCGCGCGCGGCCAATCGCGCCGCGCGCAATCGGCGGGACCGTTACGTGGAATTCGGGCGGAATCACGTCGAATCGTCCGGCCAACGGGTGTCTCGGTACGTTTTTCAAATCCGCGTACTCGTTTTAGTTGTTTAATCGGCTCTCGCGCTCTCTCTCCGCTCGGCGAGTGAAGAGAAAGGGTTGTCGGGCCTCGAAGGACGAAGAAACAGTAGGTACATGAACTTTCCGCCTCGGTGTATTTTTCTTACGTGTATATGTTTTTGTTACCCGACCTCTGAATATGAAAATAATCAGTCTTTGTCTTACGATCGTCGACTCTGAACGTTAGTGAAATGGCTCCTGTTCCTGAACACCGTTCGCCAAATTGCGGCTGTAATTTTATCTGACGAACTCCGCAACAAAGTAGACCGACAATCTTTCTGCGGTACTGTACAAATTCGTTTGTACTTCTCACTATCTCACAAATGTGTAGGAAAACGGCAACTTCTCCGCTTTCTCCGTTGCTTCAATGTTTCCTTCATCTTGGCTCCTAAATGTTTATAGACACGTATGTAAATTTAAAAGATACTTGAAAGTACTTCGAAAATTAATAAAATAAGTGGACCGTGAGCGATTTTCCTTCTCAGAATCTTATTTGGGAGCCGAAATGAACGAAATGTGAGAGTTACGAAGGAGGCGGTGAGGTTGCCACACATTTACCAATTATTTTAAAGGTAGATCATCTTAGACGATTTGTCTTTTACCCAGGATGTACGGAACATTGATCCCGAAACGTTTAATTTACTTTAATAAACTTAACAGGACACGAGCCTAGTAGTGCAGTGCGTTGGCTAAATATTGGCCCAATGTTGGTTCTATTAGAAATGCATTGATATTGTCCAACGTGAGGTCAATATTGGCCATGGAATAAATGTAAATATTGCACACTAATGATTATATGTATAATATATATTAGATCTATACTGATGTGCATTGGCCAATATTTAACAATGTAATATGAATATTGGTCTAATATTGATACAATATTAAACCAATATTGCTAAACAGACGTTTAGCTAAATATTGGTTTAATGTTGGATCAATTTTGGGAATACTAGATTTACATCATTTCCCAATATCGCACCAATAATCTGTGCTACTTGGGGCACCCTGTATTATAGTTCTTAATTATTTAATATCTGGTTACTTATTAAATGTAGAATTCACTCTCCAGGTATCGATAACAAGAATAAACGAGTTATCCAACACGGAAAAATACTTTTGCTGGAGGTACCGGAAATTATGAAAACTTTTCTAAAAACGAGACTATCAATAAAATTCGTAAGGCTCTAACGTGAGGACACAAACACCAAGTAATAAAGGGGTAAGTTGGTGTCTAAATAATTTTAAGTCTATTGCGAAAAGTAATTTAACGAGACTAACTCTTGGGAAATAATTTCGCAGGTAAGAATCTATCACGGGAGCAGCCGCTTGACAATACCCGTGGTGATGGTTTAAAAATGAGACACTGCGTTTTATAAATAAATATTGCATTATGATATATTTTAACAACCAGTGGTAACAAAGGTAGGTGTCTCTTTTACGTATTTATAGCAACAGAACAGCACTCTCGTATGGTACAAGCTTCGACCTGTGTAACTGTTCATATATATTTATATTAATATTTATATATACATATGTATACATTCTTCGAACCCTGAAAGAGCGTTCCTAACGTAACAATATATCCTTAGAAAAAAATTTGTTCTGCAGGCAACCGATGTTAACTTATAAAGTTCACGATTTCAAATGACTTTTGTAATTCTAGATAGACATATATATGTATATATATAATATACACATGTATAAATGTATATATCTCTCCTTGTTAAAGAATACGATTCTCTAGCGACACGATATATTAAATATATAGATATAATCTGTGACATCTCTGCGATTTAGATATCTATATATATAATAACTGTTATTATACACGTTAAATTCGATATCTCACGTATAGCTTCTCTCCGCTACACACCGCACTTTATTTGGTTTAACAGAGGAGTGTCGCTTCAGTCATCTTTGGTAGAAGCATGCACGCATGCTTTTCTTCTGCATAACGCTATCTCGTAACAAGATAACACAAACGTTACTCAATTAACGCGTCTGTTCCCTGAGTTGATATACAACCGCATTTCAGTCTTTACCATTTTGTTACATCATCTCTCACAGCAAATATTACACGATGATTAATGATAATCGTCTCACTAGTATAAACACAGCGATATCTAACAAATTGAAACGAAAATTCGAGGCCGGAAATGTGTCGTTTTCTTTTCGTAAGTCCCCCCCTTTCGTGAGACACGGGCTCTGTCACGTGGGAAAACGAAATATTCTCTTCCCGCATACTTCGCGTTTCGAAAACTTGGAAGAAGGCGGGCACAAACGTACAAGTCCGAGATAATTTACAATTCATTGGCGAACCAATTCCTTCGCTTATACAAGTCGATACCTGATCAACTCCCGAATTATGAGAAATTACATTGATCGCGAATTAATGATAAACGATAACGCATTAGATCACAAAATTATAACAATCTGACTTTCAATTAAATCTAATTTCATTTTCTCATAGCGCTCTGAGTGCTCCCTCGTAGCTCATTCATTTCCATCATTCTCAAAATTGTCACATGTGTCAAATACTACACGAATACACCCAAGTGTGACGAAACGTGCAACGTTTCTCGCGAAAAAGAAACACGTTAAATACTGAATAGAAATTCTTTTCGATTTTACTTATCATCTAGTCGATAAACATCGTCATTTCGTTTTATATAGTCATCTGTAAAAATTAATAGAATATTTAACGTGTAATTATATAAACAAAATTTTTCTATACACAAAGTTTTTCTTCAAGTCACATAAATATAACCGTTACTCTTAATAACACTATCCGTAAAAGAGTGCTTAAGTGTATATAATTTTCTTTTTTTTTTAACAAATCGTATCTTTTAAATATATTTTTTTTCCTTTTTTTTCCCGTCGTTGAGGTACCACTGGTAATAACAGTTGCTTTTGTTAGCTTCGCGTAATCGCGCGTCATTCCTACTACATTAATATCTTTACTGTACTCATAGCGAAATGAGTTTTTGAGGCACATACACCACATATACGCTCGGCATAAGCAATCGCTAAAATTTTCTTCGTACTGGCTAGTTAATCGCTATATCGTCATCCCTATGATTATCGGTCGCAGAAGTGACGTCGGAAGAAAATTTTAACGGGAGTGCGTGTAATAAGTTACAATAACTTACAAACGTTTTGTCGTCCTCGCACTATAATCACAGACAATCCCAGTTTAACGCAACAAAACGATTCACCATCCTATTCGCATCCGCCCACTTACATCTCGTCGTCTCGTTCTCTCTGACAGCGGTAATAAAAATAAAATTCTGTACACTGCGTAATAAATTCTGTGTATCGCGTGGATTCTCGCGGAGAAACGTCGATACTTTGAGACCCTGACCACAGTGATATAATATCGTTTTATACACGTCCATCTCTCGTATCTATCCGATGTATTTAAAATCATCGTATAAGAATGCACTTTTCAATTATATAATTACTTAGATAGAAAATGGACCAAGATTTAGAGAAGATGGGATGGCATAGTCATGTTATAGCTAGTTATATATCTATATACGATATTCTAAAATTGTGGTGAGATAGGAATGATGCGATGTTTCGCGTCCATTACGAACGCAGAAGGCAGCGGTGTTATATACCGTGTAAAATGCATAGGAAACAAGGTGTGTGAATTTATTGGAGCGTTACTGGACCAAGCATAAGTAGGAAAACTTTACTCGACTATAATCGTGGCGAGGCGTTTTGGCCGCTTGCCAGCTTTATGTCTCCTATGAACGTCCCTTTCGTCATTCGCGGCCTGCGAGGACGACTCGAACGACTCCGCGGAATTGTCAGACCCTACATCTCTGTCCGAATTGGTCTGTTCGAGTTTACGTTTCCGCGATCGCGTCATTGGCCCGCTACTACTGCTGCCGCTGGTCTCGCTGTCGACGTCACGTCGGTGTCGATGATGCTTCTTCGTCGGGATCATCTGCTGACACGACGATTCATGGTCGGCGTTGCGTTTGGCCCGCTTCTTCGCGGTCCGCTCCAATTCCTGCAGGAGCGAGAGTCTTATCGAGGAATTCGAGTCGGAAGAAGAAGACAGGGAACTCAGGTACTCGTTAACAACTTCGTCGTTGAAGTCGAAGACGCTTGGTGACGAGGTGGAAGTGTTCGCGGCGCTGTGCGTGGCGCTTGGTAGATGCAGCAACTGAACTGACGACGGACTCGAGGAGGAGGAAGAAGACGGTCTCGACGTCGAGGAACTGGAATTGGAACGTTTGTGCTTGCGTCGCTGAGCCAGCTTGGCGGCGTCAACGGCGCGCAATCGGAAACCCTCGCGCTCGTGGGTCGACGTTGAACTGGCGGCTGCCGCGCTATCCGCGTGAGCTGCGTCCGTAATGGGCGTCACCGGAAGAACCGTCGCGTCGTGCATCGTCAGCCACGGGTGGTACACCAGAGAAGCCGCGGTGAGTCTGTTGTTGGGATCGATCATCAGCAAGCCTTTCATCACTTGCTTCGCACCGGCGGACACGTGGCTCCAGGCTTCACCGTCGAAATTAATCTCACCGGTTTTGATGCGCATCGCCACGTTAGGTGCGTCCGTGCGAAAGGGTGGATTGTCGGACAGCATGAAGTACAGAATGGTCCCCAAGGACCACATGTCGCAGCTCTCGTCGTACTCCTGATTGGCCACAACCTCCGGAGCAGCGTACGGGAGCGTGAAGCAGGGCGTGTGCAGTGGCTCGCAGCTGTTCTTCATCCTGGCGAATCCAAAGTCGACTATCTTCACCGACGAGTCCTCGCCTTGATGCACGTACACGATGTTCTCTGGCTTGAGATCACGGTGCACCACACCGCGCGAATGCATGTATCGCACCGCGGATGCCAATTGTCGCATCACCCGCTTCGCCTGCCGTTCCGAGAACGGTCGCGGTCGTTGCAACAATTCCCCACCCGAGAGCAATTCCATCACGATATACGTGTGAAGCCTATCGTGATGGACGTCTGTCAATTTCACTACATTCGCGTGACGCTGGCACGCACGCAACAGACTCTCCTCCCGGCTGCAATCCACCCGCCTGCTGACGATCTTCACGGCGTACTCCTGCTTGGTCTTGCGGTTATGACACCGTCGACAAATCGAGAAGCTGCCGTCGCCCAGAGCTGGTCCCGCTTGGTCTAGCTCGTACGTCTGGAAGAACGTGGACTCCTCGAAACACGTGTTGAGCAGATCGGACAACAAAGGCCGCTGCGAACTGGTACTTTCCTCGCCACCGAAGATATCTCTGCTCACCACGTTGTCGGTGAACAGTATCGAAGGCGCTACATACGAATAACCCTGTAAAATAATTTGAATGATACATTTCTAGAATAATTCATAAAACCTGGGATTATAACGGCAGCGCATACATACTTGCTCGGGGTAATAATGCAACAAGTTAAAGAAGCTTACCCTGAAATGCTTATCAGGGTAGTCACCGTCAACGACCGCCGGGCTGTCGACGGCAACGTTCATCTTCGTGAATTCGTCGGAAAAGTTGCTGGTGTCCAATTCGTGCGTGATTTTGGGGACCAGAGGCGGCTTGATCTGCTTCTTCTCCAGGCCGTCCCAAGTGAAGGCCGGCGCCGCGTCCATGAAGAAGGGATGCTCCTTGAGCTCCTTAGCGTCGCGCGGCCCACCGCCCAGCCTCTGCCGCGGATCCTTGACCAGCAAGCGGGTGATGAAGTCGCTCACGTTGGCGCTCAGGTGGCTCGGCATCGGCGGCGGATCGTTCTTCAGTATCCTCCTCGAGATTTCCTGCTGGTTATTCTTCTCGCCCTCCACCGTAAACGGCGACGCACCGGTCAGTAATTCAAACGTTAGCACGCCCACGCTCCACCAATCTACGGCCTATGAGAATGCCATCTCGATTGTAATACATACGTTTAAACGAGTACATACGTGACTGCATCACTGTTAATTATGTCCACGCAAGACACGCTCGTATCTCTTCTTTTGCATACTTATAGGTGTACAATTTTTTAATTATATAGAGGAAAGTCCTCTATTATGAGATAGGCTTCTAAGATGAGATGGCAGGTTTTCAATACCCAAATTCAATAACGAATCTGTTTCGTAACGATTACACAATCGAACAGTGAATTTTCCACTAAACAGGTTTCGCTCCAAGGGCAATAAATTCATGGTGGAATCAACAGATGATGCCTATTAATTTAGCAGAAACCCCGTTATTTCATACTAGGAGCCTCTCGTCTCGTGAAAGGGAATTTTCTTCTGCATATAATATCTTTACTTTCTGAAAATTTAATTTACTAACTAGTTTGTTGGGAAAAGGCCAATAATACTAACGAGCAACAAGGATGACGGACAACTATTGCATATTTAAGTCGAAAAAATTAAGATAGAAAAGTAATAATACGTATACGAGCGCCTATTTTAGTCAGTAATTGAAAAAGAAAGAGTGACATATATCGAAGTTAGAAAGTTGAAAAATTAAGAATAAATTAAAAGCCATTTGTAACTGTCGTAAATTACACGAGTTAGCGCAAACTACAAAAAGGTTGTAACAGTGAAAGGAGTCGAAGCCAAAGATCTCACATGATAGAGAAAGAAGCATAGCCTTATTATTTGTTTCATGCTTAATGGAAGCGGTCGGTTGGATAACGAACCAGACAATATCGCATGTTACAAAACGTGAATAAAGTGGCCCGTATCAAATATTATACATATAACATAATTATACGCGTAATAATTTATGCATTATATAAATTTAATTGCAGAATCAGGGAGAAAACAGACATTATCATCGAGCTGCCACCTGAGAGCAGGAGTCGCAAAGGCGGATACGGGGATGAAATAACACGCGGGTCGGTAACGCGGAAAGATAAAATGGTTTCAACTCACGATATCGTGGCCGTTCGGGCCGGCCTTTACCACTTCCGGTGCCATGTACTCGATAGTTCCGCAAAACGAGTAAGTACGCGCGTTACCGTTCCTCTCGTGCGGTAGGAACTCTTTACTGAGACCGAAATCCGTCAACACGAGATGCCCCTCCTTATCCAAGAGTATATTCTCGAGTTTGATGTCCCGATAGATTACGCCAAGCTGCAACGTCAAAACCAGAATGTAGATTCGCAGCAGAGCTTTTCCCCGTTCAGTTCATCGCGGTATTGTTTCCTCGCGGGAGGAAATCTCGTTGTCGTTTGTACGCGCGCCCAACGTTATTATACTAATACGTACGTCATGAAGGCGCTCCAGCGCCAGGATAATTTCGCCGATATAAAATCGCACTGCGTCCTCCGTGAAGCAATCATGCTGATACAGATGCGTAAACATTTCACCACCGGCGACATATTCTGGAAATAGAAAACGGTATCTTGCAAATTCGCGGTTCTACATTCTCAGACACGTGAGACAGAAGCAGAACGTTTCTTCGTAGCGCGTCATCCAGCAGCATTTGACGTACGCGACAGACGAGATAAGAGAGAAAGACATCTTTTATTTTATCCGTAACATACATATGAAATTTTATGTAGATATGCCGGATCTTTTCTTTCATCTTTTACAATCTATTTCAATGCAAGTGACTTAAGAAAAATTGTTCGAGAAATTATTTTGCCAAGGGAAGATGTTGGGGCTTTCACATATTTATCTTATTTCCATATATTAACTTCCAGTTTATATTTATTTCATATTTTCATATTTATTCGGTGAAATGTAACTTGTGACACGTGCACGCGTGTTGCATTACGTTTTTCCTTCTTAATCATTTACAACGAATTCGATTGCTGTGCACTAGTGCGCACTGAGTGCACAGTAAAGCCTGCTTATACTCAATTCTTATGTTTAACTTTATCTTAAATACACGTTCACAGAGTTTAGCCAAAAAATGATCCGTATGGATACTATACAAATTATTTTACTGACTAAGAAACATTTCAAGAGATATTTAAAACGATCCTTAAATATAAGAATTGACTGTAAACAAGCCTTAGTTTGCACTTAGTTTCCCTTCCCTCTTTCTCTCTCGCTGATAGATTTGTTTATTATTCTTCTCAGTTCCAGTCCAAGTCTCACCTAAGATCAAGCAGAGTTTGTCGTCGGTTTGAAACGCGTAGTAGAGAGTTATCAGGAACGGGCTGTCCCTGATGGCCTCCAGAATTTGCCGCTCGGACTTGGTGTGCTCGGTCGTCTTCTTCTTCTGCACGATGGAGGCCTTCTTCAGCACCTTCATGGCGTAAAGCCGTCCGGCGTCGGCACCCGTTCTCTTCCGCACCAGGAAAACCTTGCCGTAAGCTGCACGAAAACGAAACGATCGACATTAGAAAACCGTGTCGCAGTTTAGGGACACAGCAATGATAACGGAGAAATATCCGTGCTGATACGGAGAAGACGGCGCAGCGGTTTATTCACAAAGGAAAAGAGACCTGCAGCCGGAAATTAACTTATGTACATCGTGCAGCAGAGAAAGGTTTTAAATTTGATGCCCGTAACGGTACAAGCGTTACAGCGTCCGTTACAAATGAACCGAATGTTATTATTACCGTTATTGATGACCCGAGTATTACTTATCGTCGACATTGTAAATATTGTGATCCAGATATCGGGGCAAACATTGTCGGACGTTACCGGGCCACGTTTCGGAAAAGACATTTCGTCGAAATGGTCTCTCACCTCCGGTGCCGAGGACTTTCAGCAGGTCGAAGTGTGTCATGTCCACTTTCTGGCTGCCGTTGTCCGCTAGGTTCACTGTAACAGAAAAACGCCAAAACGCCATGTGAGAAAGGTTGGTATAATATCGATAATATCCGATCAATCGTGACACCCGTTGTATCCCGGCGATTCGGCGGGAGACCCGTTGCGGATCTCCGCTCGTCTGCTCGCGTACCGTGAAGCGGCCTTTACGAAATTTATGTAAAAGAAAAGGAAACCCGATATCGCGAATCCGGTCGAACGCGCGAGACAGATCGGGGAAGTATATCGAAACGCTGGGGAAAAGAAACTTATAGTGTTTCTCGAAATTGCAAAATAAAGACCGATATACTCTGGTGCTCGCCCAACGACGGAAATTTCAGCAGGAAACGCACGAAACAACGTAAGCACACGGAAAGAAAAATGTAGGTGTATGTGGCAACTAAATTTCAGTCGTAAAATATGGATAGGTAATATTTAGCTGTGAGAGCTAAATATTTTGCTACTGTGCCTATTGTATTAGGTGCAAACCGTTTGCTGTGGTTTGGAAATTTATAGTCACGGCAGCCAACTATTTTCAGCAAACCATGATTAGCTACCTGCTACGGTAGCGAGCTCTCTTTTTTTCTTCAGTGCAATAAGGCCCGGTTGCACCAACGTCACGTAATTTTAACTTTAGCTTAATTCATTCTTTATATCTTTCTAAGCAAAGCAGAAAGAGACGAAGAGTGAATTAAGCTAAAGTTAAAGTTAAGTGACGTTTGGTGCAACCGACCCTAAGGCTCAAGACTCGAGGGAAGTGAAGGCCCGAGAACACACGAGAAAGCTTAGTAGAACTTAAGGCTTAAGGAAAATGACAATCGAGAACGTACCCGAGTCGAAATTTTGGTACTATTTTCACTCTTTTGAGGATAATTTACATCTACTTAGCTGATCTATGCACCTACATAGATCAGCAATAACCTACTTTGATGACGTTCTATTTTTTACTTCTCCCTTGAATCTTTAATTCTAAAATTTTACTTTAGCTCCTACTTAAAAGGACCTACTTTAATTGGCAAAAGTATAAATTTTCGACACATATCAGTTTTAAACGAGGGATAATCCCTGATCTTGTACGCCAATGCCCACTAATGCCCAGTGGGCATTACTTTATCTTATTATCTTATTTTATCTTATTTATCTTGTTTTATCTTGTTTTATCTTATTTTATCTTATTATATCTTTATCAGGATTGGGAAGTAACTCGTTACTTGTAACGAAGTTACAGTTACAGTTACTTTCTCTCCATCTGTAACTGTAACTTAACTCAGTTACATTTTTTCGATAACTAGTAACTAATTTAATAGTTACTTTATATATTTTTTAAACCTACATAGATCGCATTGGGCCTTGCATTTGCGCATAAACGCCTTTATCGACATTTTACAATTCAAATGGAGATTTGAATATTTTCATTTTCATTATAAGAAAGTAACTGCAAGGTAACGATTCGTTACTCTTTGAGTAACTGTAACGCGTTACTTTTCAGAATTGGTAACTTGTAACTGTAACTAGTTACATTTTTAGCGAAAAAAAAAACTGTAACTGTAACTAGATACTTTTATGAAGTAACTTTCCCAACTCTGATCTTTATAATGCCCCAGCAAGGCTTAATGCCCAAACTAATGCCCCAAAAATGCCTAGTAATGCCCAGTAATGCCGCAAATCTGTACACCACAATGCCCTCAGCGGTTTCCCCCTCGGTTTTAAAGTAGGAGTCAATTTTGTACTTGAACTTCGGCCTCTTTTACTGCCTTAGATCCTACTATAGAATTAAAGGTTCAACATAGGGACAAAATTTCGACTCGGGGTAAGCAATCACGTGGGCAACTTCGACCTTGCTGCTTACGGTTCTTCGTGTATGGGCCTTTACTTGAGAAACACGCAGTGGCGGACGCACACCGCGTGAGAAAGACTTTCGATAAAACGAGCCCGATTTGAGCCCCGCCGAGTGGTCTAACGGCTGAGCCGGGCTAATTAACGATTTCTCGATTCCTAACGGTCGCGTTCTCGCCGACGTTCGCGCGTTCCTCGGCGCCGAGGAGGCGCGGAAGGAGATTGAGGGCGTTGTGACGCGCGCGAGGCCTGACAAGGCTTCTCGCGGCGCGAGACAATGAGGTGCTCCTGGCATTCATTTTTCTCCGGACGCCGCCGTCGCCGCGTGCGGATAGCGCACGTGGGGGAGGTAGGGGAGGGTGCGCGGGGGAGGGAAGAAAGAAGGAAGAGAATAGAGGAGGGAACGTTCTCTCCGGCGCGTCCGTCGCGCTGAGAACGGAGGAATGCCGCTTATTCGCGACGTGTGACACGCGAAGGTGCATGCACCTGCAACGCGCGGCTAACATATCGGCAGGTGCGACATCGCCGCCGCCGCCGCCGCCGCGAATGTACGCACGTACGTACACGTGGGCGATTCGCCGCCGTCGCGGCGCGCGCGGCGTGTTTATCACGGCCTCGCGTAACGAGAGACACATGTCGCGCGCTCGTAATTGAAGCGGCGAACGGCGCGCCTGACGCACGTTCGGAACGAAAAGGAGAAACAAGTAGGAAAATTAAGAGTACGCGGCGCAGGCCAGCGCGCCGGGTTTCCACGGGCCGCGCGGCGCGGCTCTCCTCAGGCATTCATGTATTCCGAGGTGGCGGCGTTGCGATTACGTTTCAGCGTTACGTAATTCGCGGAACAACTGTGTCCACGGCGGCGAACGCGGCGGACGATAAGAAACCAGACGGGTTAACGATAATGACCAGTAAATAATGCATAACAACGATTTTATCGTTATTTACTTCTTTCCACATCCGCGCCTTCACTCGCCGATCGGCGCGGGCTCGTTCTGGCTTTAAATTCCCCGCGAGGAAAACGCGGACGCCGCTCTCGTAATCGTAAAGGAACTGCGAATGACGGCGAGGTGAATAAATAAGGGGAAATGCACGCCGAGCGAGGTGTTCGTCTCGCTCGCGATACACGGAGTAGACTTCGATTTGGCCGAACGTGCTCGCGTTTATAGGGTACCAACCATAGTACAGCCAGCAAGATCCACTTCGTCATTGGTTTGGTTTTGCGTCTACCCCTTCTGCGCATCACCGGTTTTTTGGGCCCGACCAATAAGACAATTGTGTGGTATATGTGGTGTATGTGTGATAATGTAGCTTTGATGAG